TCCCTGCTGCCAGCACCCATGGGTGCCTCGCAGCCTTTGAGGGAGAAGCCGATTAAAAGCAGAGGAAAACAGCACATTTCCAGGGGTTTTTGGTCCAGGGGACAAGCAGAGCCGGTCACATCGTGCCACCCTCACGCCGGGGTGGGTTTGGGTCCCCGGGGTGTCGACGCTGCGGTTTGAGCCGTGCAAAGGCGTGTTGGCTCCAGAGGGACCTTCGCCCTTAGCACCCACCAAACGGGGTGTTTTCACTCCCAGCGGGGCTGAAATATTAACCGAGCATCCCCGGAGCAAAGCCGGAGCTGTCCCGGAGTCCAGGGACGGGCTGGGTTGAAATTTAACCGGGTGCCATCAAGCTTGGTGGGTGCAAGCGACCGCGGCTGGCTGCAATCCTGCGCCCAAACCCCGGGGGGGCAAAGGGAGCCCTTGCCTGCTGGTGGCAGAGCTGGAGACTGTGGTGGGGTAAGGTCCTGGGGGTGCAGGATTAGGCCCAGCTCCTTCCCGCAGCAGCCCTGAGCCCGTGCCCCAAAGCGGCTGTGCTTTTGCTGGTTCTACCTAGATGTTCTTTTTTTTTTTCCCCCATTTCAGATGGGTTTCTAAGGAGAATCCCCGGCAGCTGGGGGTTTTCCAGCCCACCCGCTGCGTGCATGGGGCAGGGTCGCCCCAACGGACCAGCCCCGGCTCTGGGGTTCTGCACCCTCCACAGTCCCCCAGCGTGACCCTGCCAGGCTCTGCCCGCACCCCGCACCCCGTGTGTGCACCCTGCACCCCAGTACCCACACCGTGCACCCTGTGTGTGCAGCCTGCAACCCGTGTGTGCACCCTGGTGTCTGCACCTTGCACTCTACGTGTGCACCTTGCACCCCATGTGTGCACCCTGGTGCCTGCATCCTGCACCCCGTGTGTGTACCCTGCACCCCAATACCCACACTGTGCACCCCGGTGCCTGCATCCTGCATCCCGTGTGCACACCCCGCATTCTGTGTGTGCACCTTGCACCGTATGTATGCAGCCTGCACCCTGATGCCCGCACCCCGCACCCCGTGTGTGTACCCTGCACCCCAGTACCCACACCATGCACCCCGGTGCCTGCATCCTGCACCCCGTGTGTGCACCTTGCACCGTATGTATGCAGCCTGCACCCCGATGCCCGCACCCCACACCCCGTGTGTGCACTCTGCACCCCAGTGCCCACACCGTGCACCCTGTGTGTACAGCCTGCAACCCATGTGTGCACCCTGGTGTCTGCGCCTTGCACTCTACGTGTGCACCTTGCACTGTAGGTGTGCACCCTGCACCCCGGTGCCCATGCTCTGCACCCCATGTGTGCACCCTTCACTCTGGTGCCTGCATCCTGCACTCTGTGTGTGTACCTTGCACCCCGTGTGTGCACCCTGCACGCTGTGTGTGCACCTTGCACCCCATGTGTGCACCCTGCACGCCGGTGCCTGCACCCTGCACCCCGTGTGTGCACCCTGCACCTCGTGTGTGTACCCTGCACCCCAATGCCCGCACCCTGCATTGCATATGTGCACCCCGCACCCCACGTATGCACCTTGCACCGCACCCCATGCGCACACCCTGCACCCCGTGCATGCCGTCCAGCAGACGTTTCCCGTCGGAGACTCATCGCAGACATCGCAGAGACCCCGGTGAGGTCAGAGGGACGGGAGAAACCCTGGGGGTGACTGTCCCCCCCCAAGATCCGCTTGTCCCTTGTACCACGGCGCAACTGCCACCAGCTTCTCCTCCGAAGCAGAGCCAGGCCGGGGAGGGCGACCGAACACGTGCCTCCACCGCCGTCCCCCGCCGGCGTCTTGTTTAAGCACTAAAAAAACCCGATGGAGGATAAATAATGGGAAACGAAGCTCTAATTCCTGCGCACGGAGCTCGGCAGGGGCACGAGTCTCCCGGGAGGCCGGGGAACGGCAGCGGTGGTGGAGGGTTGCTGCCTGCCCTCCGTGATGGGAGCAACGTGTCCTGGGGACGGCAGGGTCAGAGCTCCCGGGTTGGGGCTCGCTGGCCTTTGGAGGTGTTGGCAGCCACGTCCATCGCTGCCGGCACCGGTGAGCACAGAGCAAGGAAAGGGGGATGCCCATCGCACCAGCGGTGCCAGAATCGGAGATTTTTGGGGGTTCTGCCCCCGTTTTAGCTCCCTCGAGCTGTGCATCGCCTCGCAAACACCCCGCGAGCAGCCTCGCAAACGCAGCCCTGTCCTCATGGCCGGGTCCTGGACACGTCGGGCGCTGCCACTGTCACCCACCCGCTCAGAGTGGCTGAGCCTCCGCTCCCCTGGGGACACGTCATGATTTTTCCTCTTGACATCCTTTTTTTTTTTTGTTGTTCTCATAGGTGAGCGTTTGGAGTTGTAGAGCAGGAATTGCAAGCATCTCTTAAAAAATAAACCCAGCCTGCGCTGGGAGCTCCGGGAGCTGCCCCTCACGCCGGGGCTTTGGGAGATGATTTCTTCCAAGCCTCTGGTGCTCGGATCGGGGCTTTGAAACCCACCCTGAGGTTTTCCAGACATTTTATTCTTTCTTTTCACATCGAAGAGCTGAGAGAGGAGCAGGACAGAACCGCGGTGCATCGTGCAGATGGAGACCACGTCAACCCTGGGGGGGGGGGGGGTGTGTGGACGT